CTCCACTAACTATCGAAAGAATCAATTGTGACCATCAAACAAATCAAGAGTGTGAAAACAGCGGGGCCTGATAATATTCCAGGTGAATCCAAGGAGTTAAACATAAAAGCGACTTCAAACATGCTCCACGTTCTATTCGGGAAGACTTAGGAAGAGGAACAAGTGCCAATGGCATACTGAAAATCAGGATACCTCGTCAAGATACGAAAGATGTGAGATTTGAGCAGATATGAAAAATACACAGATATTACGCTTCTAACAGCAGCAAGAAAAGTTCTCAAGAGATTGTTGCTCAACAGGATGAAAGACTCATTAGATGTCCGAAATCAAGATAAACAGGCTAGATTCCGAATGGATCGGTTGTACATAGACCAAACTGTGACACTAATGATCATGGTTGGAAATTAGTTGTATGGAATCCGTCACTATACATCAATTTCCTTGATTGTGAAAAAGCATTTGACAATGCGGGTAAGAGAATCGGCAGAGTAAGCGCTGCGTTCCCACAACTGTACAAAATATGAATATAGAGACAACTGTCAACGGATACCAAAGTAAAAAACGTCAATACGAACTTCAAGACAGTCCTACTTTACGAAGCTGAGACATGGAGAATTGCTACAACAATCATCAAAATGGTACTCGTATTTATAAACAGTTGTACATGCAAGATACTCAATATTCGTTAGCCGGATACCATCAGGAACAGCGTACTGTGGTAGAGAACAAACAAGCTTCCATCTGAAGAGAAAATGAGGGAGAGACAATGGAAGTGGATAGAACGTACATTATGGAAATCACCAAACTGCATCACGAGGCAAGCACTAACTCGGAATCCTGAATGGATACGAAAATGAGGAAGGCCGAAGAACATCCCACGTCGGCAATTGGAAGTAGACATGAAAACGATGAATAGCAACTAGAAACAACTGTAAAGAAGAGCGGAGGACAGAGTTGTGTGGCGTACGCTTCTAAATGAAGTGTAATATGTCTAAGTACGTTTAAATGTGATCACAATTGTGTTCCATATCCATTGTTTATCTTTAACAATATAAAATGGGGATGGTTGATTGAGTGAATAATACACTACTGTTGTTACTCAGAGAAACTATCTCATTCATCTCTCCTTCCCCCTTTATCGTTCACTGACTGAGGGTCATATTATTTTTATAACGGCCTTCAAGGCCCTTCTACACTACGTTGGAATTTTGAGCCGTATTATTGTTCAGTTACACTAACGGTTTACATTTCGCGTGATGTCATCAGTGCCACTACTTGCATAGGAACATTGTTAACCGAGCAAATTTGTAGTGGCGTTGGACCATAGCCACACAATCCTCAAAGCTGAATACAAGATTACTCGGAAAATAGACATTCAATATTTAATGCGGAGAAACACCTAACGATGGAGAAGGCGCGAACAATGAATTGAATGGACTGGAGTTGATCGGATCTCAACTAAATCGTATTCCGCCTTATAATAAACTGCATACTTGCAACTAACTTGTATGCCCAATCAGCCGTAAGTATAAATATAAATAAGTAGTCTGCCGCAGATCAGAACATTGAGTCTAGAGCATGTCTCTTACGAATACACTCATGTTTAACAATTTGTTCCTAGCTATCTGTTCAAAATTCATATAATTATCACTAACGTATTTAAATTTTGTTTTAATAACCATTTATGTGTATTAGTAGTATTAATAAATTCTATCACGGTCAAGTAAAAATGAGGTTGAGAAAATCTCCCCGTAACTAAATAGACCGTATCAAACTAACTGGAACACTAGTTAGAATTCTTCTCCGTGGTAATACTTTTGTTCTTTCAGTTAGCCTACTAATACAGATGCAATTGGAAATCACATATGGATAGGTTACCGGAATAGTTGTAAATTGATTTCATGATTTAAACTAAAACTAACACCAATATTAATATTTCTACAATATTCATTACTTTATTATTTCTAAACACAAAATACTTACTACATATACGTTAAGTTATTAACCAACGGCTATTAACACGCATCGTTTTATTATTATTATTGTAATCCCATTTTTTATAGCTCAAATAAACTTCACCCAAATTTTCATTTCAAGCATGTTAAGCTTGAAGGCAGATATTTTAAAATTATTACATGTATTTCCCGACCAGATGCTGCCGCCTTCTTTTTGATTTATCTTTCAGCTTATCAATATCCGGAGGATTCTACCTATTCTTGGTAACCTCCGGCACGCGACAATCCCATCCAATTCGGTATCGAACCAACACCACGTTGATTCTGGTGGGGGAGTAGTGTAGTGGCATTGAACCATAACCACACAATCCTCAAAGCTGAATACGAGATTACTCGGAAAATGGATATTCAATATTTAATGCGGAGAAATACCGAACGATGAAGAAGACAGAATGAATGAGTTGAATGAATTTGGGTTGATCGAAAGGCATGACTCGGCCATGCAGGCGTGGTTCCTGTTATCTTATATCTTTTAACCATATTAAATATATTGTCCTATCTCTAGCCTAAGCTTGTTCTACATCATGTATTGGTAATTGTTATGATGCAATGAGTTGGTGTAGACGATGACGTAGCTTCCACGTAAGATCTTACAGGTTAGGCAGTTATATCATGACAAATCTACAATTTTAGGATAAGTTCTATTATTAGAGCAGTACTAATATCATAGTAGACCATAATTCTACAAACTCACACATGATTTTTATCGCAGTAGGAATTTACGGGCAACATTCAATTAATGTCCATTTTTGTCAGTTAGTATATCATCGCTTCCGGCTACAAATTCTCAGTAGACCTGAGAATCGAAGTCTGGAAGAATACAGTTATCTTAGCTAGGAGACATATTGGCAAATGTGGAAAATACTCCCTGAGTTCAACTGATAAAATCTAAATAAAGAAAAACGGGAGTCAGTGTCAAATGATGGAAAACACCAAATTATATGTCAATATGTGTGTCCGAATGACCATATATCACCAATGTGTAATATATGAGATAATTTACATTGAGGTCATAAAATCGTTCAAAATATCGCAATATAAAGATCCTACATTATTTTTGGGGGAGGGAATACTCTATTCTATTCTGGGTCGTGATTCCTGGATATGATGTAAAATGAATAGTTTCATTATCGTACAATTTTATTTTCGCAGTATACATGAGAGTCAGGAAAATATTTTGAGTCATCCGTTACATCAAAATCTAATAATCAACTTACCAAAGATTGGTTCAGCCTAACATATTATACTGGATCTTTCGTGCCTGTAAGGGCTAACTATTGATAGAAGACACTAGACTAGCTGTGAATGGGTCTTTATTTGGATGGTGGGGCAGTCACAGTGGAGTCGGGAATTACCTGCTGAACTACACAAAACTTTTCAACATTCAATATAACATAATAGGAAGTATAATGTCTTTACAAAATAAAGAAGTGAGTGAATACTTGGGCTGTATTGTTCTGAAATAGACTTAGTTGTTTGAGGTGGACTCTTAACTAATCAACTTAAGCTGTTACAGATCGATCAAAATAGAGCGATATTCCAAAATAGTCTTCCAAATTCAAAATGACAAGTGAAATAAAAATGAAACAGTGTTCCATAACCCCTACGTGATCAAAGATCCTTTCAGGATTCAAAAATTGGCAGGTTTGAGTACATTTTTTCATCATTTTCGTGCAGCCTTATGATCTGTCAAGATGGAGAGGACATATCTGTAGATATTACTTAGTCTTCCGAATTTTAAGCTCGAGGTCAACTTATAGATCACTGATAAATAATGAGACTAGAATTGTTTGAAGTTCAGAACTGTGAAGTATTTTACTCGAAATTATTGTCCAAACTAATAAGATTATATTCTAACCCCATAAGTAGACCTGTAGATACTAAATCGAAGTTCTTGAATAATCTGGCGTTTCCAGTTTCGCAAAGCGAATTCCACAGACATTTCTGTCGAACGTTTTTGAGAAGTCTAAAAAGCTTATTACCAACTGACCCACTATAGGATTCCAGGTGACAAACAGGGTTGTATTTCGTGATCTGTCTCAAAAACCTCCATGTCGTTTTACTCTGAGTACCGATTTTGATAGATAACGTTGTAGCAATTCATCGGTAACCCTTTTCGCTACATTCAAAACTTGGTCAAACTAAAGAATGTGACTGCAATCAAAACCTTCCACATTATTTTGCCCTTCAAGTGAGATTACAGATTCACTCCTTTTTGACGGGCAGCAGATCTATCTTCAACAAATGACCACTTAAAGACAAAGGTAAGTGAAGATTGACCAGGTTCGACTACTTCCAGACCCTCAACTTTTAAGGGAACTAGTAAGTCTTCAATCCTCATTGCACAACAAGGAACTACATTCCTACCTCAGGCGGGATGTAAGCATCAGCGTATTTGACTAGAGTGCTTTAGTTCAACTGCAGTCAATATGTGCACTTATCCTAATCACTCAACAGTAGAATACACATTTGCGATTTTCTACTTCCATACGATTGAAGAGGACACAGGTATTCAGTGTTTGACAACGCTTTTACCAGCAACACCTAATATAATTTGTACCCACCGAGAGAAATCAAAAGACAGAGTCGAGGAGATCGGAAGAGTGTATTTGGCGATTACCAATATATCGGAATTCTCTGATCTAATCTGGCTAGCGATTGCGGTAGATGTTGAGCACAGCGTTACCACACGTGATCTGGTGCGGATGCATGACCGAGCGCCTTCAGCTAGGTGAGTCCACTAAAACTAATCTGGTCAGCATCCAATGTCGAAAACCTTCAGAGCTATTTCTTTTGGGGATTTATTTACTGCTACACGACGATGAACCTCACGAAGAAACTTATGAGGTGCTGAAAAGTAGATCTGTGTATTGCAATATCTTTTGTTGGTTTTTATTTACTTGCATGTTCTACATATGTTAGCATCACAGCTTTCAATTCTATCTAAAATTAGAATATTTTGAAAAAAAGCAAATCTTTTGTCCGTCCAAACATGTTTCTGAAAATTTAAACACCAATATACAACACCATTATCAATGTAGACCAAATTTGTTTTACTAGTCCGATGGACTTGAAAACATATGACATGTACTAGTACATTTATAAAAGTTGTACGACTTATCCAGGTGGTATTTGTTTCTCGTGAAATCCGTTCTCTGTACACAATCAACATGCAGGTTGAAAGCCTCCACAATCTCCAAGATAAAATTAGAAATGATGAACGTAATCACTCACTGACCAAAAAATATTTAACTGATGACATTGTCAACAAATATCAGGCGACAAAAACGAGCTTGGGCGGGACTCTAGCTCAGTGTGTGAATACAAGTGAGAACTTTTTTGACTAAAACTCGCGTCTTTTTACTTCGTTTATTGGTATTTTTATCTTCAATATAAGTTGAAGACTTGTATCTCAGAGAAATCAAAATTGTAGATATTAGTAATTATGTTTGAGTGGTATAGATGTTGATTCAGAAACATTTTTTTGTGAATTATTTTTGACGTCTGATTTCACGGAACTGGTTCACCATCCAACGATTTCTACATGATTTCTGCCTTTTCATTTTGTAGTTTTTCCCAAGTTTTATACATTTGAAGAATTTTTGGTACTACTTTAATTTATGGTTATCAGTTTTGGATCTTGAGCAGTGTTCTGATTTACTCATTGCACGGACATACAACTCATTTCTGGATTACTTGTCCTAACTACAGTCAGGAGAATGCATAGTGGAAACGTCTCATTATTAATTAAGATCATAGGTATGTGTTAAAATCTTCGTGCAATCGAGACAAGCCTGTTTATCAATAACCCAGATTAAGTTCGTGTTGAAGACCAAAATTAGTTTACATTCTATACTTTCACCAATTAGTTCTTAGCGCACTTTCTTACGAGCATTCACTGGCTTTTTTTACCGTAATCCCACATCCAGTTGAACGCTATAAATTTTGCTGTTTACCTTTAGTACGTTTATCTAATTTACGTTACCTTCGGGTGTATATTATTTAAATTGCAGATGCTTATAACCCTGGAGCTTTGTTGCCAAGATCATGCGATTTAAATGCATATGAATCTTTCAGGGATTTCTTTGACGCCGTGATTGCAGATTATCATAAGGTTTGTTCAGCCTTATCTTTTACTATTAATAACGGCTTGTGTTCACATATCCATCGTCATCCTCAGTATTAATGGAATGTCTTTTTCAGGTGGAAAATGGCAAAATACAACATCCAAAGTCAGATTTTGGTGACCTCAAGAGTCTATCGTTTACGGATCTAAATGCTTATGGCAATTTAGTCGTATCTACTAGAGTTCGCCTAGGTAGAACGGTTGAGGGGTTTGGTTTTGGCCCTACGTTAACCAAAGACACTCGAATTGAGTTGGAAAAGAAGGTAAGTTCTGTTCGTATAACTTCTTATGCCTACAAAATCCGTAATTTTATGGCATGAAAAGTCGATTCATTTCCTTATTGTTCTTAGATCTCAACTGCTCTACGTAACTTATCAGGCGAATACGAAGGGACGTATTATCCATTGACAGGAATGTCAGAGGAAGATAGAATCAAACTAGTGAACGATCATTTTCTTTTCAGAAACGATGACAAGTATGTTGTAGCTAAAATGTATTTGTCAAGTTGTCTACTGGTATAATCACTTTTCTGTGTTGAATCAAATTTTAAATTTAAAGTTTCTACGATAATTCTAGTTGTCAGTACGTAAACTTTCTGAAGTTAACCTACGGTATTACATTTTTGAAACGTTTTTTTGGTAATTTATTTCAAGATGAATATCTGCCCACGTAGTGAAACTTTGTTCTTTACTCATTATAATGTTGATTTTATTTCGATAAAGCTATGAAGCTTTCATCCGATTATTTGAGAATCAATTACTTTCAAGATATGATTATGTTCATTTTGACTCAAAGCTGTACTTTTTATTTGTCAACACTTTGAGAAAAGGGATAATTCTGTTGATTCTCATATAACGTAATTACTTTTGCACATTAAAGAACACTTGTATGCATTTTCTTCAAGTACCTAGGTTCCCTACGTCACCTTCAATCCACCAAATTCTCGAAATAATAAAATAGCTGGTCAAAACGTGCACATGTTCCATCTCTCCCACAATTGCGTTCTAAGTTAATGTTTGTTGCTTAAAAACGAACATTTTGCCAGTTCTTTTCAAATATTTGGTTAACTGTTAATCAACATCTCCCATCTTCCATTCGTACTATTTAATTTATTATCGTCATTTGTTTTGCATTTTACCATATCTTGATCAAGTTCTCGTTTTGACCCACCAGACGATTTGGTTTTAAGAATACATTTGCTAAAATTGTGTTTCTATACTGCCACTTCATTTTATTTTTATTAACTTCAATACTGCTTTCATAGCGTTCTTAAAGATGCTGGTGGATACATTGATTGGCCAACAGGTCGCGGTATATTCATAAATAAACAAAAGAACTTTTTGGTCTGGATTAACGAAGAGGATCACATTCGCGTCATTTCAATGCAAAAGGGTGGTGATTTAATCGCAGTTTACAAACGACTGGCCGGTGTAGGTTTTAGAAGTGTTTATTATATTTATTTCTATGTAATTCATATGTTTTTATACATTTAGAATTTTACTTTTAAGCTAATAGCTTAAACCCTACTGATAAAAACCCGAAGTTGAAGAATAATAAACGTGTAGAAAAAGTTAATCATATAATATATGAAAAATGACAAGAGTAGTCACAAAGTGTAAAGTTTCTAGTCGTTACTTGGTTGATAGTCTGTTTATCAATGCATTCACCCACTAGGTAGCCTCCTGCAATGTGGATTCAGAAGACAGTTTGAAGTTTTTACTTTTTTATTTCAAATATCTTGTTTTTAACGAAGCGGAAAGGGTTCAAAGTAGCTGATCTGTTTCCTCTTGTAGATATGTAGAAGAAATTTACTGGAACTTTCAATCCATTCTTACATAACTACATTTTTTTTATTATCTATTCGGTTTTAGGTCTCTTTTTTTAGACAAGGATTTTTATCAGTCCTTGGTAGATTTTCCGACTACCAATATAGAAAAAAAAGTTATGAATCTTCGTTTGGTTTTGATAGCAATCATGATTCCAGAGTGGTCTATTTGATGAACGCAAATGGAGAACAAATATGAACTTCTCCCTGATTAAATCTTGAAAACACTTTACAATTTTGTAGAAACTTATTCTTATTTATTTCGGCATACTTTTCCATAGTAAATGTGTGCAACTTCTAACACTTTGTTGAGTGTCTCTGTATATAACATACATATCACTATGGGTTTAAAAGTCAGAATACTAACCAATTAATACTACCAGGGATTTAGATACGACTGACTTGATAAGGCTGAAGCTTTGTCTCACCACATAAGTAACCTAACTGTATTTAGTCCGTTATTGCTAACCGTGTGCCACAGACTTGATGTTAAGTTTGGAGAGAACATGTCAATGTAAAGCTTGAATAACCAGTGCAGTTGAGTGAGTCGGGGTATGGACCTTCAGCCAAGTGGTTGAAAGTGAAGTATTTGAAGAGCTGTGCCCACGAGATTGATAGTCAACTCCAGTCACTATCTTCTATGAGGGGGGGAAAGCAACTTGATAATACAATAAACAGATTTCAAAAACGTTGTATCACAAATAGCTTAGCACGTGTGATATGAATATATGAATTATTAATTTTGTCACCGGTTTAAGTCTGTGATGTTTAGTAATTGTTTTCCATCATCTGTTGCCCTCCATGTTTTCTTGAAATCTATACAGGCAATACAAGAACTGTCCAAATCACTGAAATTCGCATTCAATGATCGTTTAGGGTTTATCACATTTTGTCCATCTAATTTGGGTACGACACTAAGAGCTAGTGTACATGCAAAAATCCCTATGCTGGCTTCATTACCGAATTTCAAGGTTAGTTGGCATTGTGTTTCTGAGTGCTTTGTATTTCTGTATGGAAGTCCATTTTGTAAATGAGAGGTAAAAATATAATGCAAGCACTTAATCTAATATTATCCTTTGTTTCAAACAGAGACTAATCATTTGTGAGGGAAGTCATATGTCCACTTACGATTCAGCCAGTCATTATGTAATGGCAAATAAACCAAATTTTCACAGATATGATCAGCGAAAAAATTGCACTGAGTAAAAATTTAAATTATGTCGAAACAATAAACACAGTTTCTCTTATAAATTTTTCATGGTTTATATTAAGACTGAAATGTGTTCAAGTTAAATATTCTGAGGGGACCTGTATACATCGTATACATGAAACTATTAGCGAAACCCTATCTGGACTTGATTCGGTCGTACCCTGTATCAGTTTATGTTTTTGATAATAATTTCGTTTTCATCTTTGAATGATTTGTTAATAATCATATTTTTGTGCAAAATATTATAAATATCGTTATAATAAACCCCAAACTGGAACAAAGCAGACCAGGTTTTCTCACCTAACCTAACTTCATTTGCTTACAACTCCATTCTACAAACTTATTACACCCGACTGTTAATTTAACTAGTGTTGGTAATAATACTTTGATTTTGCTACTGAAAAATTAAAATCCTTAGGAAATTTGTGAAAAGCATGGTATACAGCCTCGTGGCACTCATGGAGAACACACTGAGTCAGTTGGTGGTATTTACGATTTGAGTAATAAACGTCGCCTTGGTCTTACTGAGCTTGATGCTGTTACTGAAATGCATTCCGGTGTTCGAGCTTTACTTGAACTTGAAGTTATGTTACAAGAATATAACAAAAGTGCTCCAGGTAATTGCTGTTTTTACTGACTGTATTAGTGGTATGCTTCAATGTTATTTAGTAAAAAGTATATATCTGTACGTATATTCCTCATGTGTTATAATAGGTAGGAGCTAAGAGCTAGTACTATCATGTTACTTTTCTTTCTCATACGAACTACAAATACTAGACCGTAAATATTGTTCAGCCATAGTGCCAAAGAAAATCAAGGAAAATAGGTTAATAAACACTTTAAAAATATTGGATTTTAGAAGTAAACCAAGGAAGTTATGTACCAACCTAACAACATTTATTCAAGTCGCTTCATTTTTGAATAGTACAGTGATACGAAAACCTAACAGTAGGAACGAAGTCCTTGAGTTGGAAGTATCTGAATCTAGCCTTCTGTTTAGGTGTAATGGCTCAACCTCATGAGTTCATTGACCGCGAAAGACTCGACTGTCGGTTACAGACTAAGGTTCCACTCCTTCATATTAACAAAGTCTCGGATCTTGTCTACTTGATAACTGTTTTGAACCGTGTCAGTGGTAGCATGTGGGAGAGCAGAAAGTAATTATTTGTTAAGAGTCTAGTTGAATATAAAGAATGGATATGTCTGTACCACTGTGATTCATTTTATTACAGTTTGACTTATTATCTAATAATTATATTCCTTCACTCATATTAGCTATAATGATAATCATTAAATTCTTCATTATGTGATGCTAAAGGAAATCTTGTAAATCACTCCATCACAGGATTCGGTTACCAAGTAGTAACCAATTTTAACCTCATTAGCTCTTAAGTATAAGTGGGCTTCGTTAAGTAAGCTTCAAACTGAAGCCGCTATACTTGATAGTTCGAAATAGTAATACGTAAGGTCAGGCCGTAAACATGGGTTTTGTTATAATCTCTTTCTTACGGTTATGACTCAGCTATTCCTATTGCTTAGTATTCTCGGACACCGATTCACTCGACAAGTCCCCAAATCAGAACGCGGTTCAACAGGAAATAAATTATATTCAAAATAACAAGGTTAGATGGAAGTAAGAAGCAAGTCAGCAGCAATAGGGAAAAGCGTTAGTATATTTATAGTTTTTCACATGAGAAGATTCCAGAGTATTCTCCAAGTATCGACTAGTGCTGATTGGGTAAGAATTAGCCAGTCAGCGTGCACCAATGCAGTCGTGCATTGAGCCTGCTTTAATCCAGTCTATGTCCAGCTAACAGGTTTAGTGCTACCTACTGTTAAGTATAATCCAACGACTTTGTTTGTGATTAAATTCATATTCTGTGGTTCTCTTAGTCTCCTCCTTTAATCTTGTATGTGATCGAATATGGAAACTAAATAATCGCTTAATTTAAGATATATAACCAACGAATATGCGGTTGCTTCAGAAATCATTTAAATGTCAATTAATTTGGCAAATTCCAAAGTTAGCAGTTTACCCACTGAGACCTCATTGTCACATCTCAGTAACATTTGATTTACTGGGCTGATCTCATATGCTAAACGAAAATTAATTTTCAGTCCTAAAGTTAATTCACTTAGCCAGACCTAAGTAACATTAAAATTACGAAACATGTACCACAAAATATCTTACCGTCCATACTGATGTTAAACATATCTTTAACTATTTGTAGCGAGAAGTATCTGTACTAGCTTCGTTTTATGGATTTATTAAACTAGTTCACTCACATAGACCTCTTGAGAGCTTACAGTTGTGTGTCACTGTCATAAATAATTCCTCTCCTTAATATGGTCCTGTTTACAGACGGCGTTATGCCAGTTGAACCATTAACTTACCTGGCCAAACTGCTAGAAGGTGCTTCTATCGAAAAGTGCTATACTCGCAAATATTTGACACCAGAAATAATTAAAAAATATGATGGAAAACGAACAACCCACGGTGCTACCCTAGCTCATATGATACGCAATGGTAAGCTGCTTTTATGAAATTAATGTGAAGAACGATTCGTTTTTTTGTAATTCCGAACAATTACCAAGTATGGGGCTTTTTTTAATTGGCTTTACATGGGATTAACTGATCTGTTCCCTTGTAGATAAAACGGCAATTCTGGTTAACTTCATTAATCACTAAAGTATTTGATTCTGGTTACTATAAATCCTCAAATTTTTTCTGACATCAATCAGAACTGTCTCGAGACATTTTGAGGCTATTGAGTTCTCTTAGATAAATTTACCTGAAGAGCTTTTAATAGACAGCATTATGGGCACTTGAGTCATGTAGGAGAAGTGCAAACACTACCCTTGGTATTTTGATTACAGGTCTTAACAATGTAGCCGGGAAATATGTTTGAATTATTTACATTAGTCTATGAGATTATTTCAAATATATTTTAATATATCTCTGGCATACTTGATGCTCAATTTCTGTTACTTTTCTTTCAGATCTTAGCAAGTTTTCACATAAATGACCTGTGGTTGATTGTGTCTGCTGAATTGTAGGCTAAGTGGATGAGACTGTATGGATATATCAACTTGGACGAAAATTGTGCACACATGAGAGAAACAAGTCTGATAAACTGTTAGATTAACAAACATACTAAATGTCTAAGGACTGTTTGCGAAAATGTAGATTAAGTTATAAACTATATTATACATTAAATTACATTTTAACAGAAAAAAATCAGGGAAAGTGGTGATGCTTTTAACTCGATTAATTTTATCTAGAGAGATGAACAATCTGTTAATTAATATGAGCATCAATGTAATCCCATATGATTAAAATAAATAATGTCGAATAGTTTTGGACATTTAAAAACAAAAAGTATGAGAGTGAACGACTATTTCCGATAACTTCTTCATCAGACTCTACAGCTATAAATCCAATGCTATCATTTTTGTTTTACAAAAAAAAATACTAAAGTTGAAAGTGGCAAACATCAGGTCGACTGAATATTTATGTTTCATTTCGATCAGAGTGTGATGATGGTAATACCCTGCTTATAGCTTCAGTTGAATCTATATTTCCACATAATGGCTTAGTGTATGATAAAAGAAGTGAAAATATCAGTATATTAAAATACAAGGTATTAGAAACATCTACTTCCAACAAATGAGCTACAAATGCTGATTTGCTTCCTCCTAACCAATTGGGATTGGTGGATGATTTTAGTAGGATGCTTCAACCGTCCTATGTGACTTTTATATAAACATATGTTGTTTTTTATTTAAATTAGATAAATGAGTAACAATTCTAGCTGTTAGATACCCTATATGTCTCTCAAATTTATTTTCACTCTCACTTAAAACTAAGCTGCAAACTTCATACAAATAACGTGATCAGTCAAACCTATCTAATATTTTCGCAATAAAACCCCAATTTTTTCTATTGGGTTGGTCCCAATCCGGTCTTATTGTTTCAGTGTTTGTACTAACTACAGTGAGCCAAAGCAGTCATTTACCATCCCTAGCGCTCTATACTTTTATTCTTCAATCACCGAGTCACTGGCTTGACCTCTTTTCTATCTGTCAAGGTGCAGTTAGCTAAATGACATTAACAGCCTTCCAAATATACTCATGAATTTCGGCCTAGCATACTAATATCCAGATGGTTATTCTCTTAAAATATTTCTCTCATACAACGAATCCTTTTTTTTTCAAAGAAATCTCCATGTTATGCGTTACACTTTCACCTTAATTGAGAGTCTCGCTTATTCCATTCACTGTTCCATGAAAATCATCCCAGACATTATTTAGTCATAAAAAATCATTTTTCAAAAGATTCACGCTTTAAACTATGTGTATATATTGAAAAGCCCATATAAATCACTAATTTTGCACTTTCATAACTGACCTACAAACAATTCATTAAGTGATTAATAATTAAACTAGACAATTAGTTAATACGTTCATTTAGTTCTAAGAATTACATAGATTTGCTGAATGCAAAAGGTCATTTTATTTTTTTTTGCTTATACCGTAGAATTTCATGGTTTATATTACTATCCAAACAGTTATTATAAGGAATTTCTTCAAAATTTCTTTTATAGGTGCATACAATCATCGTTCAATATGTCCACGAACCGGGGAAGCTGAATGTTATTCGACGTTCATTGATTACTTAGATCCATTGATCTGTGATTATCACGGCGTGAAAGATCCTGCATTTAAACATCCTGCGCCCACATTTGGTGACTTGTCAAAGCTTCCATTCGGTGACCTAGATCCAGCTGGTATGTAACTTTTTATGCTGCCAGGATTAATGTAGTGGTTTCTAACTCGAAAGTTTGGGGTATCGATTAATGGTGTTAATATAATGTTTCTACTGTTTACTACGTTTGAATGCCTCTCCGTTTCTAAGAGAGAGTGCACTAAATTCTCATGGCTGGAACTAGTAATAGATCTTTCGATCTACAGTCAAATAATATTCAGGAGCACGAGAATGATGGTTTCATAATTATAGTATTGAACTTTCAACTGCTGTATTGCAGGCTAGAACCTCTTTTTATTTAATTTGTTTTGGGGATTTAGGTGGCTTCACTGATCTTGACATCATATATCACTACTTTTGATAGTATAACATCGGTTTTCCATTTACACTATTTCTAGGTAAATACATTGTCTCTACACGTGTCCGTGTTGGTCGTAGTGTTGAAGGCTTTTTATTCCCAACAATTATGAGCAAAACTGATCGTATAAAATTAGAGCAAGTTATTTCCGGAGCACTGAAAGGACTTACTGGCGAACATGCTGGGACTTACTATCCATTAACTGATATGAAAGAGGAAGATAGAAAACAACTAGTTGAAGATCATTTCTTATTTAAAAATGATGATCCGTAAGTGTGAACTTGTTTTAATTCCTTTAAGTGATTAAAATTTCAACACTACTATTTAGCAAATTTCGTTTTGGGCAGCCAGAGTTAACTTATGATCCGACATCACAGCATAAAGGGACGGAGATAATAAACAACAAGAGGAAACAATTTCAACTCAAATGGGAATTTGAGTTTCTTTTAGTATTACTTAGGATGGGTGTCTTCGTGAAAGTTAGTAGATTATAGAGTTATTTTATAAGGTGAGTACACTGGTGTTACGATGAATGTATATGTTAAAAACTGTCTTTAAAGCTTCACTTTGTAGGTAAACGATTTAAGATTGTCGTAAAGATACATTTAAAATGTTCGTCTTACATAAGCGAACCCTCAAAGTAGAGTGTTTGATAAAAGATTGGTTAATCCCAGAGATAATTGGTTGTAGTTTAATGTTAATGAATTTTGGCCATTGAATCTAGTGACAAAATGTATACATATCCATATGTATATCTCTACCGTTCTTCTGTTTAGTGTTTTACGTGATGCCGGTGGGTATCGCGATTGGCCTGTTGGACGTGGAATTTTTCATAACAATTCAAAGACTTTCCTTGTATGGGTTTGCGAAGAAGATCACATGAGAATTATATCAATGCAACAAGGCGGAGATTTAGCTTCTGTTTATAAGCGCTTAATTGAAGTGAGTGGATAACCAATAGAAATACATAAACGTTTTCGAGTAAAAGTGAAAATTTATCTCGCTTTTTACGAGTCACTAGATCTACTATGTTTTGACCCAGATTTATTCTTGTACAGCCCAGTTTATATAACACTGGGTCAGGATTTATAGCCGTGACCCAGATATATCATACCAGTAATTACTTCCACAACATAAATATAGTAAACACAATAGTCCCAAGATACATTATTACATTTTTCTCTTTTAATGTCTGTCCTAATGATTATAATGGTTTTCACTGATACGAAAAAGCTACGAAAATATGCCTGTATAAATAGCTATAGTAATTCAAGCAAAATAATTCACTGGTGAAGAAAAGTTTAGAATGAGCATTCAGTTAAGAAGCTTCTAGTAATATTAATCATTGTTTCTATCGCTGTTACAATACACTTTTGCTGGTTACATATTGTAATCAAGTTGATACGTTTGTGATAGGATTCTTCGACACTTGAACCTCGAATAATGAAAGAAGCCTTATAATTCTAGAGTTCTTTTATACACAGAAAATAATGGCCATTTATAGGTCTACAAGTGACCTTAAGCGACCTGTAAGATTTTTAATAAATTTAGCGATCGACCATTCAGATAAGGAGGAAGAAGTATAATCAATTGGTTTTGTCTCAGAATCTCCGTGATTCTTGACAGTTCTTAGAGCATTCAGATATGTTTCTTAAAAGCCTAATTTATTTCTCAGATTTGATGAAGTTATGACTTGTTAGTTCTAGTATTCAGTCATTAAGTGCAACGGTCGGTTAACTAGTTGGTTTCTTTAAATTTAGTCTGCTCTACAAATCTGGTAGTCAGAGGAAGTAGAAGAGATGTTCATAAACTGAAAATATGCAGTTAAATTTTATGACTTATTTTAATAAAACAAGTTAATCACTGGTCAATGAATCCATACAATGACTGCCATTAAGATGAATTTACAGTCATCGTATCTGGTCCGAGTTTTTGATCAACTAAATTACCGAGTTGCACTAAAAGATCTTAGTATCTTAAGATAAGTCAATCTTTTTATGAAAAGAAGTTTATTTATACCTACTCTATTATTCATAGTGATCAATTTCTAATAGTTTTACTTAATTCATAACAGGGAATTAATGCTATCGGAAAGAGTATGAAGTTTGCACACAGTGATAAATATGGTTACATAACTTGCTGTCCATCAAACTTAGGTACATCAATGCGTGCCAGTGTATTATTAAAGATACCAAAACTTAGTTCTCAACCGAAAAAACTGGATGAAATTTGTGCAAAGTATATGCTTCAAGCTAGAGGTAAATTTGTTAAATGTTTTACATTCAGTACCTTCTTTTACATTATCTTTTCTGTCTTAAACTCAAACTGCGTGATTATGACTTATGATCAACAAGCTAACAGTTATGTAGTGATTATTACGGGTGACTTATAGGATATTGTTTGAACAGGCACACAAACAGTTTATAACTGGGTACATATTTTATAACCTAGTTCTTAAAAATGCACCAAGCATTAGTTGCGTTACAGACACTGTAGAGAACAACCGAACGCTGTATGTAGTTTATATTTTATAAATTTTTAACTTACGCATTACTGATGCCCAGAAAATGAAATCAACTTTTTGAAGCTACTACTGATCACAGAGATTTGTATTGTTTAGTTACATATTAAGTAAATTTTAATGAAAACAAATATCTTCTTTCGTATTCAGCAATGTAAAAATGTATCTCTAGCACTTTTTGTCAACAACAAAAAAGAACACTGAAAAAAATCGTTACCATTCATGTTATTTTTCAGAGTCAGGTATTCATTATTGTTTTTTGTTTGTTAGCGTTTAATATTAGGAAGCAAAGCATGATTCTGTTATAACTTGTGGTTTGTACCCCTAGTTCTTTGTTTTTCACCCCGTCGCCAGTTGTTATAACGCTCGCTTTTACTTCGCCTAGAGTTATAACGGTTGGGTTTCCACGTTTACACGTATGAGATGTTAATTTACCTGAAACGAATATTTGCACGAGATTCCTTCCTAGTACTTATTCTACAGGACGTCAACACAACTCAGATCAAGAACGAGTGATTAGCCTGACTAGAACGTGAATATGTTTCCACACCAAAACCTGACACAGTCCAATAACAATGAACAATCGGTGATAATTATTATTATAAGGATAGGGGAATATATAACTCATCTGACACCTGTCAGACTATCTACATATCTGACTAAGCAGACAACCAATTCATTATCATTCTCGCCCACACATCAGATTCTTTATTTTTTCGGAGTACATTTTTGCTAATAAAAAAGCTCCTAATTATTAAATGTAAAGAAGATTCATATTTAAAAAGTGTCAAGTATATAAACGGATAGCCGAATATGATCCATGGTAATATTTTAATCTTTTGTGCTTCCGAATTTTTGCAGATTAAAGGAACAATTGTAGTAGCTTAATATAATTTACTGATTGAAATCATGAGTCAATTGAAGCTAGACCACCATGGAAAACCTGGAAGCACTTGACGGCCGCTTCATCCTAGTATGGGACTCCTCAGCAAATTTAAATATATTTGATAATGAATGGTTAAAGACAATGTTTGAATAGGTCTAGACTTGTATTTTCTTTCATTAGCAGTTTTAAGATTAACTTATTTGAAACAATGAAACCGGAAAACTTACAGTTCATCCTACCTGATATTATATAACCACTCCTTAAAATTTAACTGTTATGGTATTATGATTCTCACTGCTGATCAGTTTCTATTATACAGGAAATGGATAAACGTAAATTATGATTCTAAAAGATATATTTCGATGAAAAGTTCGGGTTCCAATCAATATTAGAGTTTTATATTCATAGCCTAGTGTATAAACGTGTAAACAGTTAGTGAATTGTTTATTTTAGTGACTTACCTCATATCTTGCACAACCGTCCACTGCTTCATAGTTTTCAAAAGTATCCCAAATAAGGTTAATCTGTGAAGTGTATCACCTTGTTTAAAAATCTCTTAATATCACTCCATATTACTGAGATATTCTGTTTTTGTTTTCGCGTTATAAGGTCTCTATGGTGAACATACAGAATCCCCCGATGGTACATATGATATTAGCAATAAGCGCCGTCTTGGTTTAACTGAATTACAAGCAGCTCATGAAATGGCAGAAGGTGTTGCTAAAATGATTGAAATTGAAAAAGGACTATAATATTCCTTTAAACAACGTCTTTTTTGGACAAATCAGTATATACTACAATTCCCTTACTCTACTCATTTTTTCCCTTCTTTCCTTTCATTTTTCATGTACCCTTTTATTGTTTAGATGTTTAATTAGTAGTTTTAAAATCGATGTATTTTATTCTAAAAAATGTAATGTATTAGCTATACATTTCACTTTGGTTACTGTTAATAATACATAAGTTAGTTGACATAATCAAATTGCATTTTGAAATTTTACGAATAATTGTCTAATCTTACAAACAGTGAACCGTTATACTTATTCGAATTTTCAAAACATTAGCTTTAGAGCGTGGTTAAGTGATGGTTTTTCCTAGATTTTGACATTTGTATGTGGGTACTTATGTCAGTAATAATTAATACTCGAGGTGAAAGCGAATATATTAATATCGTGAACCCAATAGACCACCTTAGACTTATAAGAGATGGCAATAAAGCAAGAGAAAAAAGACAAAGCTCGAGAAGTGTCAGACATAATTCAATTTGGATATAACTAGTTGAGATAGGAACGATAGTGATGCATTGGATAAATTACAACAGAGTTATAGTATATAAGATGACCACTTAAAAAGTCTAAGAATAAATATTAACACAAGGTGGGATGCTAGTGGATGGCCTATCCTTCTTCACGAGGGGTAAAACGCGTACGTAGGTAAGTAAGAGGATATCAGTCACATAATCATATAGATGTCCCGTATCAAGAGATTGATAAAAGAAAGCATCAAATATTAGTTTACTGTATATACGCCTTTATAAGATAATTAGCTGTTCATTGATAGCTTAAGGATATATCATTTATTTGTAAAGATATTGCATCATTTGTGATTTGTTGATCGTTCATGAACTAAATGTTCTTTCATAATTTATAATAAGCTTTACAATGCCGTTTTAATTCCTTAATTTAACTAAAGCAAAGACAGTATCTAATAAGTACCATAGAATTTCAACATTATTCACAACCTATCCTGTACAATTTTTGTAACATAAGGACGTGGAAAATTTACTTTTATACCATGGGCCATCATTATAATTTCACTTTATGTCACTACAACTAAGGGATGGAAACTAATAGTCCAATGGTTCTTTATGCATGAAACTGAAATCTCTCCAAAATTCATCCTTTGAAGTAAAAGATCCTTCTACTGACCTGAAGAGTTATTAACTTCAGGCAAATCATATAGATTAGTAATGGGTTATATAATGTGGAATTCTTATTGGTACTAAATTGTACAAGACATTTTCGAAGCATGATATCAAGCTTGTCATATGTACTTCAAATATCCAACAGTCAAATTAAATGGCATTTGTGTATTTCGAATATTATTTTTATCTAGGGTGTTGTATAAATTAAACCAATAGTTATCCGAAAAAGTTAAGACAGAATATAAAGTTTGGTAACTTAATCAGTATACTTCGTTGACACTGAGGTACACTGTAATGTAAGTTACTTCCTAAATTGAATAAATCTTAGTAATACGAGATAAATCTGGGTGACTGTGCTTTTTTTGTTTTAAATAGTGAGTACACCCAACCATGAAAATTACATCTTTAGCATTATCTTACATTCAAGGACTAAGCACTGCGTTTTTACATTTATATCTTACGTCATTCGTCTTGTCTAACTTTGCACAACACCAAAACATCAGTAACATTGTTCGCTTATCATCAATAATTAAATTTTTATAAGAGGGTTTTGTGGAGATTTTAGTAGTTTAATTGTTGAATTCATGAGTCAATTGAAGCTAGACCACCATGGAATACCTGAAAGCATCGGATGGCCGTTTTTTCCTAGCATGAGACTCTTCATCAGTGCGCATCCACGATTCCACTCCGCGGGATCGATAAAGTCCTGAAGTGATTAGATTAGTCAAACTGTTCGTTTGTTAAGAGAACTACTGACCAACTGACTGGTTGAACATACTATGAAATTAAATCTATCACCAAAATGAATAAATATCCAGACAAAATTGTCAGTCAGAATGAAGACAGAAATCACAAAACAATCAATGAGGCTTAGGAATGCCACCAACCGAAACAACACTTTTATTACAGTCTCATTCTATCGTAGTAAAGTTAAATTACTAACCGATGTGTACAAAACAATCTAAAAAAAACACTAAATTTTAAAGCGTAAGGCAGAAACTGACATTTATCCCAACAGTCTGTACAAAAGTACGTAGTTTAATTGAATTGTACCTACTGAGGAATGTACAACATATAAACTTTAAGATACGGAGACTAACAAGTTTTGTATGTATGTTCTGCACACAGAATGACAGTGATAGTTGTCTTGTATTGGAAATCTTAAATCTGTTGTAATTATCTAGAATTTTTTTGCTTTTCATTAAGTTAATCTTTTTTTGCTACATTACAAAATGAATGGTTCTATAGAATGATCATCAACAAACAATTTCTAAGTGAAGTGCGGATAAACGAATTTAATTATTATGGTATATACATTATTATTTTATATCGTGTATTCCGTATTCACTCATATGTGCATATACTTTCCTTTTAATTAGATAGGAAAACGTCTTGTTCTTTCCAATATTATTCTATACTTCACAAAATACACACATTTTATGAAAATGTATTAAAATTCATACAAGCATATAATATTATGTGAAGCAGTTATGGAATGGAAATAATGCAATTATTAAGTTCTAACTTTTGATTAATGTCGATCGATAAAAGGAATAATGAGAATAACCCACAACATAGAATATAGATTGACTGTCAGTTTGACAGGATTTGAGAATTGAACTGATTTTCATAACTTAAGACAAACTTATGTACATAATTTCGTATAATGTGAAGCCAGTTTTAGTGTAGATTGTTTGATAATCTTATTTAGAACTGAAACGACAAACTAAGTCTCTGTAAGAGCATGAGCGATAAAGAGATAAACATTCCAAGAGTTAAGATCAGGACTTCTTATCGTCTGGTTTTATAGTAATTTATTGGAAAAAGAAATTATATATTTACGATATATCGTTTGCTAAGGAATCAACATAAATGAGAATGTGTAACAGTAACCATTTCTCTACTGATTTCTGTTAGTTTTCCAGATAGTGAAAATGGTCTTCAAGTCAATTAGATTGATGTAATTATTTATCTTAAGCAATAATTTCGTAGAAACATTATTCTCCTTGTAAAGTGAACTTTAATCATGAAAATAACGTACACTAGCTAGACATCACTTGAACTAGGTCCCTCGAGCAGTATACATCTGTAACCTTATATTGAAATTCATCTCAATAAATCGATATTACTATACATTTTAAGTAAATATGAATCACGTAGTAACAAAAATTAACCTCGTGTTGTTGAATAACGCTATTTCAATACATTAACTAAGTATAATGCACTTATCCTCTTTCATTAACGTGAGATATAAAAAAAGGCAAATTACCGAAAAAAAGAACGCTGAAGTAGCTATAAAATGAGATACCCAACCTCTTGGTTAGTCGCTTTTACATCTGAGCGTTTATTCAAATATGAAATACTTGTAGAGCAATATTCAGCTAGAATACATGTTGCTAAACTATTCAACTGATGTAAAGTAAGAGTCTACATTCTTTTTCAAGTGAATTCCATTCATATTTTGACTATTTAAATACATATGAGGTGTCCAAAACCAAGCAGTACTTTACGGTTGTGTTTAGTTTGTGTAAATATCGCGTGGATTACTGGTTTGCTTTATGTGTCAGAGTTATTTCTGACCAAACCAATAGTGATAGCAATCTGTATTATAACCTGCCTTCAAGCTAGTAAAAATATGGATACATAGAAAAGAAACCGGACGGAACTGCGAGTTCATGAGTCAAACCTATGTCTAAGATATAGACTGTCCTCATTAGATGGTATAAGGCTAAGATATTAAAAAGTTTAGGATGAAGGCGTTCAAATTTTGTTCAGGCAAAATTCTACGGCACTTCACTGACCTAGCATTTTGGTAGATATTCAAAGGGCCTTAAGTTGACATTTCACTAAGCTATCCGTGTGATTATTAAAAGCTCATTCTGAACTCTCAGTTGTGTGTATTCGTGTAGCGTTATCTTACTAGAGGTTTTGGTTTAAAATGCCTACCGTTTTATCGTTTCTGTCATTGCGGCCTTTCTTCGTTTTGTGATTTCATCTGAGTGTGTGGTTAAATTGTAAATAGAAAACAACAACTAACATCAGGAACTCGTCGTGTTACTTATATGTTAGATAACAATCCACTTTTAAACTAATCACAATTACTGGAATCAATTTTATTGTTTAATCGTTTTCAGACTAGTCCTGACTAATTAGTTTAATCCGGGTCTTAAACCACCAGTGAAAAGTCACAAGAGTTGACTTTTATCGATCAAATAAATAAAGGTCATGACCTAAATGAACATTGATCTTAGGTTCTAAGATTAATATTCAGTTCAGGCTTTAAATGTCCTGCATCCTGTAAAATCAGTCAAAGTTACTTAAAATAGAAATCGGGATATCTCATACTAATGCAATTGACAGATAATTTAGCAATATACAGTTTAAATTTAAACTTCAGTTCACGACAAATTTAATGGATGTGGATAAAATTATTTCAAAGTTAAAAAGGTCACTGGTACATCACAAGTGGAAAATAATAACTAGTACGCTTGTTAAGTTGACGAGTCAGACCAGTAAACATGCAAAGTATTCTAAATTATTTACTCACCTAGGTTTCATTTTGGCTAGTGCTTCTTAGTAAGGTTATTTCCTACGGGATGAGGTTGCTGACGCCATACCCAACACACCTTCTTTACCCAGTTTTGGGACCGGTAGTAACCCTAATAGAGCTACAGGTGGATGTGTCAGAGAACAAATCAACTTACAGCTGAAGAGGAAATTAGGAGAGACGATGGAGATGGATAGGACAAACGTTGTGAAAATCACCAGACTGCATCACGAGGCAAGATCTAACTTGAAATCATGAAGGGAAACGGAAAAGGATATGACCAAATAACACACTGTGCAGGGAGTCGGAAGCAGACATTGAAAAGGCTGAATAGCAACTGTAAAGAACTTGAAAGGGTTGTTCAGGACAGAGTTGGATGCAGAAGGCCGGTGGGCAGTCTATGCTCCTCCATGAGGGGTAACAGGCAAGTAGGTCTCATTTTCGCTTCAGGTAAAGCTTTTCGGGTTATTTTAATTAAAACTATGAAGTTAAGTATAGATTTAATGTTTAT